TATACTTATCAAATTGACGAGATACAGCACTACTACAGCTTTCAGAGATGGTCAGAAATGACTACAGTGTTGCATAGTAATATTATCTTTATTTTATACATACACTATTAATATTCTTTATATGCATTTATCATATAATCTATATCAGAAATACATACAGAAAACAGATCTTTATTACTAGAGAGAATGATTACAGTGATTCTCTATTTTCATATTATAAAGATAAGTTATTCTCATTTCTTTCTTCTCTCTTTTCTCTTCTTCTTCAACTCATCACTAAGTTCAAGCTGATATGAAAACTATTAAAACACTTATAGAAACTCTCAAATTGAAGAGTATAGACTAATCAAATTTTAAATACAGATGAATTAAATTATATTCAATAATACTAATTATTCATTTCTCTCTTAATAAAATAATAGTTGTGTCTTTCTTTCTCTTCTCAAACAAAACATGGTCTGTGAAAAGTGAGTATCACATCAGACTATAATGATTAACACAGCTTCAGCACATAGAACTGTATACACACAGTGTGTGCTGAACTGAAAGACTGTATGAGTTGCAAATCAATGACAGTATCTCAGAGAGAGCTGTGTGATGTGAGAAAGCTGTAACTCTTAATTATATATACAGAGAGTGAATTGCTGTAGTAAGTACATATATATTGCATGAAAGTAATGCTTTTTGATAATACTCAGTCTCTGATATCATGAAAATAGAGTCTCTCTGTGAGATCTGTTTTTATCAGAAGTTGAGAAATCTTATATTTCTCAAGATCATCTTCATGCGCCTTGTCTGTGAAATCAATGAAGAGAATTATTGATTTCAGTATTCTACTCTTGATATCATTCAAGTAGCAGCAGAGTTCACTCTGATCACACTTTTTAAGTGTATATTTTCTAATTATTCACATTTATACAGATATATACTGATTATTTATTAGATAATATTAAGACAATGACTCATTGTAACTGTGTTATTCTCACTGTGAGAAATACACAGTTAATGATGAATATTATAAAGACTCTAAGAAGTAAGTATTTTAAAGATACTACAGCTCTGTGATCTTGATTTTTTTTATTTTTATTTTTTATTTTTTTCTTTTTCTTTTATTTTTTTTTCTTTCTCTTTTTTTTTATTTTTTTTTTATTGTGATTTTTTCTTGTATTTGTTTTATTTTTTATTTTTTATTTTTTTTTGTATTTTATATTTTTTTCATAATTAAAATTATATAAATTATAATCTGTGTTTAGAAAAGTAATGATATTTGATAATACTCTCTATTGAATTTTTAACAAATGAGCACTATGGTATAATATTATGTAAGTGAGAAATGATTTCATAATCTCATTTAATATCATTCTCAATAATGAGATCAGAATAAAAATGTGACTAAGAATTCAAACATATTCTTTATCTAAAACTAGATTTTTATTTGAAAAGTGAATCTGAAATCTTTAATATTTGAAATAACATGATTTGAAATTAATGTGATGAATATAAATCATGACCAGAAGTAATGCTTTTAGACAATGTGATAACTGTAAAGTTTGATCCTGGTTTCAGACACGGTCACACGGTCAGTCTAAAGAAGATATTGTATAGACTTAATAAATCATGTTTCTTAGTGTGTATACTCTCATTCTTCTTACTAACTTCTAGAACAATTTATTGTATAAAGACTGTGTATAATATAACTATCTAAAGCTCAGTCACAGACACTGATTATTACATTTATTTTAAATATTCATGATAAGATAATTATTTATTCATATCAGAGAATCATCTCTCTCTTTAACAGTGTTAAGATTGTAAGTCTTTTTCTTTTTCATCTTTTCTTTCTGATGCTGATTTTTCTGTTCTTAGAGAAAATCATTATGAGTTTTATTATGCATAAAGTCATGATATTCACAGATATCAAGAAACTTTTTACAACTGTAAAGTTCAATATTACAGGTATATCTGCTCTAATGAATTTCTTTAAGATAATAGATCTGTATCAGTCTATTCTCTGATATCTGTCATCTGACTTCATAATACAGGCAAAAGATATCTATGTTTTTCAAAATGAGAATGCAGATATTGTACTCTTTTACATCTATAAGTATGAGACTTGTATATCTTGTCTGAGATGTTATTATGAGAATGAGTTATTTACATGCTATATTCTGCTTTCTGTATTTCTCTGTGTTTCTCTCTCTCTTTCTGAGAAGTCTTGTGCATGTTGTAATTATATATACAATTCTAAGATCAGTGAGTGTTTATTCAGTAATTATTATCTCTGCTTTTACAGTTTTATACACTGATAATAGTTCTTAGTTACTTCAGTGTCAGAGATCATTTTAATTGAAGATGATAATACTGCTGAGACTACTTTCTCTCACTCTCAAGCTTCTTCTATCACTTTCTCTCCCTTCTCTATGAGAAAGGTTGTGTGCATATCAGATTGTAAGTGTTTAATCTTGAGTGACTTCTACTGTTATTCATTTAGTTCTGTATTCTCTTCTTCTTTCATTTCTTCTGTCTTCACTCTCTCTGTCTTGACTTCTGATTCTGCAGATCTCATACTCTTCTTCAATTTTTCTACACATACATGTATGCATTTCTATATTGGCATTTCAGTTGATCTTGTGATAAATGACATTAATATCATACACAGAGTGATAGAGAATTCAGAGATATATGCAGTGTTATTATAAGAGCAGCTTGCAGCTCTTGAATCTCTTACAGATCTTGAGCTTTGAGATTTCCTTCATTTTTGATGTTTTTCAGATGATATGATATTAAAAATAGATTAAATATGTGATGTATAAAAATGAATAAGATGTGTATAATAATATTTGTCTTTTACAGTCAACTCTTATAATTGATAATCAATTCATTTCTCTTTTCTTATACTTTTTCTTTATCTGCTAGTCACTACTCTGACATGATCTCTACATGATACAGTATTCAGTGACTAGATTTGACAGCTTTCATCTTTTGTAATTCTGTCTTATGTATTATACTGTCTCTCTTCACCTGCTCAGACTACTATAGTAAACAGCTTATTGAAACTAATCTCATCTGATCTCTGAGTATTCTCAGAGATTGAGATAACTTAGTCTCATATATTCACAGATATTTCAGATAATTCATTCTCTATAATCTCTGCAATTAAACTGATGTAAACAGTTAAATTCAACTCTGAATCTCTTTTTCTTCTATAATCTGACTCATATGTAAGTCTGTCACTTTAAGATCACTCTTTACTGTATTACATCTGCTATCTGCAGCATGTTATCATATGATCAGCTACAGTCTCATCACTTATTAAAGTGTAGTGTTCATCTGATTTCTTCATTTCTTCTCATTCTTTTCTTATAATTGTGAAAAGATTAGAATAAGTGAGATTATCTGATTTATAAGCATCTATGATTTCTCTTTCTTTGTGAGACTTTTCAATTATAAGTCTCTTCTTTTTCAATACTGATGATAGTGCTGTGAATAATTATAATTCACTCAGGTCTTGCATCTTCATCTTTATAAGATGTGAATCATTTATCAAGTTGTGTAAGATCTGTTTCTCTGATTCCTTCAATGCATAAGTTCTTAGAGAATATGATTTAAGTATTTTATAGAGCTCAAATCATCTAGATTGAAACTTCTCAGAACTCTTATTATATATAAGAACTCACATTCTCATCTTGAGACTTAATTTCTTAACTAGTGTGTCTTGTATTCTTTTTGATTGAATTGCTTAATTCAGAAGTAACTTGTTAGCTTTTGCACGTGCATGACTGATCTCTTTCAATCTTGATTCTGTGTCTGTGACTGTTGCATCTATGACTGTTGCTGCTGTATCTGTAACTGCTGTTTCTGCT